CAACTCTTGATAATCTCCTACCTCTTTTGTCTCTAACTCACTATTATTTGTCTATTTGTTTTCCTGAGAAACTATTTTGTAGATAATAATATGTAAAACGATAACCATTGATAATTTCCTACCATTTTGTCTGTAATTTGCTAAGTCCCCCCTATTATTATGTTATCCTTTTATTCTTTAAAAGAAAAAAAAAAAAAGAAAGAAGTGACCAAACAGTTGCAGAACCTCTTTGCCCCAAGGTGGGGTGGCGATTTAGATGGGGAGGCCAAGAGGTCCTTCTGGCAGGGCCATGTGGCCGGGACCAAGAAAGAAGCAAGCCCTGGGGACACAGGGCGTGTGCAGGGCTGCGTACCAGGGCAAGTCCTTGCAGAGGTCCCAAGGCACAAACTCAGGGCCTAGCCCAGGGACTGGGGTCAGTGTGGTGGGAGAGGGAATGTGCCCCACTGGAGATGGCTCCCATTGTGGGCCCTGCAGGGAGACACTGAGGCCCGAGTCTGCCAGCTGCCTGGGAGCTGGTGTCCAAGCACGCGCAGAGGGGATGTGGGTGCCACTCCCGCCCTTCAGGGCCCTCTCGCCTCTCACCACCCCTACCCAGAGCCAGCCGTCTCCCACCAGGCGCTGTGGTCTGCAGAGGCGTGGCCACAGCTCGGTGTCAGTGCACCTCGCACAACAGATGGCATGAGGTCGGGATTTCAGATGGGAGGCTCATTCTGGGAACGCACAGGGTCCAGTACCAGGGAGGCAGCAGCGCCAGGCGAGAAGCTGTAACGTGGAGCCGTCAGTGACGGTCCAGGACTGGGCTGTGGGCAGGAAAGCAGGCGGCTCCCAGAGATGGGAAGTTGGTTCTCCCGAAGCTCCGGGAAGCCAGACCCGCGGGGCCGGGACTTCTCACATCTGGCTTCCTGGCAGAGAGAGTCTGTTTCTCTCGTTCTAAGCCACCAAGTCGTGGTGATGGCCCGGGACACAGGTGCAGCCAGGGATCAGGAAGCGGGGGAAAGGAGGACACTCCTGCCGGCCTCTGTGTCCCTGGAGCTCCAGGGAGGCTGAATGTGGCAGACGGAGGAGCCCGTGTGCAGAAGGAGGGCAGAGCTGAGGGTGAGGGTGGCAGCCACAGCTGTGGTCTGGGGTCTGGGAGATGCTGGTGTTCCAGCACTCTGGTCCCTCCTGTGCCTGCATTGCTGTTGTGGTTGTGTCTAGACGTCCCCCGAAAGCCTCATGCAGTCACGCAGCGGGCTTTTAGAGTTTATAACAGATTCATGGGTGTGAGTGCTACACCTGCCCTGGGGTGGGTAGTTTGCATATAATGTAAGGGAGGGAAGAGGCTGCTTGCCTCCACTCCTCCCCTTGTTGCTTTTGCTGTCTTCCGCTGCCGTGAACTGTTGGCCTGTGCCAGTGCCACTCTGCCTTGGAGCCGGCCGAGTATGGACTGAAAGCTCCATAAACTGTGAGCTAAATAAACCTTTCCTTCCTTAACTTTGGGCCTTGGGTATTTTGTCTCAGCAACGAGAGAAGAGTAACCAAGACAGCTGCCTTAGAGTGATTTCTTTTACTTGAGACCAGAAAGCGCATGGTGGGAACAAGGACGGTTCCCTGTTTAATTTGGGGGTCACAGGGGTCAGATGGGGAAGCCTGGGGTGTGTGCTAGCCCTTGCCACGTCCATTCTGCCCGCTCATGTAGACTCAGGAACGTCAGGCCCTCATTTGTGCCTCAGTGCCCAGGAAGGAGGAGCGCACCGTGCGCTTCATCAGGGGCTGAGGCTGGCGGAAGTTGTCCACCATTGCTGCCTCCTCTTCACCCACGGCGGAGAACAGCAGTGCACGGAATGCGGACAGCTGGAATAGAGAGCGGGTGGAGCAACTGTGGTGCTGCTATCCCTGTGTCTTTGTGTCTGTGCCCACGGTGAGATGGGGTGGCCCTGCAGACCCACAGAATAGGGTAGCTTCCGCCTTGGTCTTTAAGGCCACTTGCTCTGGACAACCCATGGGGTCTCCAGCGGCCCTTGGACTTCCCAGGTTGCCCACAGAGGCTGGTAGACAGCATACATGATTATTTTCTTAATAACTTGATGGCTTGAGTTTTGGAGCTATTTGTTACACAGCAACTGGTAACTAATACAGTCAGCCCTAATAACCACGGTTCTGTGTCCTCAGAGTCAACCAATGGCAGATGGAAAATATTCTGCCCCCAAATTCTGTCTGTGCTGGATGCACACAGACTTTTCTCTGATCATTACCCCTAAGCAATACAATGGCCATTTACTTGGAATTTTTACTGTACGAGGCATTAAAGGCATCTAGAGATGAGTCAAAGTATCTGGAAAGATGCATATAGGTGAAATACAAATACTATTCCTTTTTCTCCTTTTTCTTTTTCTTTTCTTTTTTTTTTTTCAGCACTGGGGATCAAACCCAGGGGTACTGAGCTACATCCTCATCCCTTTTTATTCTTTAATTTGAGGTCTCACTAAGTTGCCCAGGCTGGGCTTGAAGTAGTAGTCCTCCTGCTTCAGCCTCCCCAGAAGCTAGGATGACTGATGTGTGCCATCACCACTGGCTTTACACCTTCCAGAGACAAGGGGGGGCACCCTAGTCGGCAGGATACCACTGCTGGCATGTGCCATTTCTAAGGGACTTGAACATTGTGGACTCTGATATCTGCAGGGGTCCTGGAACCAAGCCCCCGGGGATGCTGACAGACAGCTATCCCACAAATGCCAGAGTAACCTCTGGTTCACTCTTCATGCCGGGGATGAGCTCCCACTTCTCCGTGTGTCCCGCCTGTTCCTGAGCACTCTCCCGCTCACGTTTCACCAGCTGCATCACGGTACCACATGCACCTCCCATGCATGGGGCGAGCTGAGTCCACCGGCACACAGGCGGTGCTGAAGCTGGCACCGGGGCACCGGGTCCCTAGAGGGCACTTGGGCTCCCTCTACTCTGGGGCCCATGTGAACTCCTGCTGTCCCCAAGGGTGACACACCAGGCCAGCCATGCACACTGGTGTAATCTGCCCCACAGCTACCTTCCGGCCAGACAGCCACACCCTGAGGCCGATGCCATCCCTCCTGGCCCATCCTGGTGCGGGCCTGACACGCACAGGCACCTGTGGGGAAGGATTCTGCTGAGGGACGGAGGGGGTTTAGTGACCAGGGGCCAAATTCCACCCAAGCCCTTCCTCACACCTGTCACAGTTCTGCTTGGGCACAGGGTGGGTAATCTACACCTCACACCTCAAAGTGCCACCTGGCCCAGCAGGTGTCATCATCTGGGCCTGCTTTCTCACAAAAGCTGAGGCCAGAGGGAGCCTGGAGATGAGCACTGAGGAGATCGATTAGTGATGTCTGTCCGGGCAGGGGAGGGAACGCTCGGTGTACCAGCATTACCCCACGCTCTACACTGCCTCAGGCAGGATTTCCACAGATCCTCAAGATTCTCAGCAAGCAGGGGCTGGGAATGTGCTGTGCAGCTGGCTGAACTCCGGGCCTGGCCCGATTCCCAACCCTGGACTTCCATAAACCCATTGGAGCCTCAGAGCCTCCCCAGCCCACCATGGACCACAAGAAGCACTTGCCATGAGCTATGGCATCTTGGGTGACTTGTTACACAGCACCCCAAAGCCAGTGCTGACTGGTGTAACCCATCAGGACTGTTCTCTGGGCACATGCTCTCATAACTGCTAACAGAGCTCATGAGGCTCCTCTGCCGTCCACATTTTGTACCATTCTACCGTTCAAAGAAGTGCGTCCGAGTCTAAAGTCTGCTCTTCCTCAACAATCTGCCTTCTTTTCTTCTGCAGGGCTGGGTGGAACCCAGGGCCTAGCGCATGCCAAACAAGCGCTCTGTGCCTGAGCCAACTCAATGGCGTCCTGGTGCTGCGTCTGTGACGTCGCTTTCCTGGCTAATGCCTCCCTGCTGTGGGCCAGGACTCTGTCCCGCTTCCTTGTCACCTCTGTCCTTTTCCATTGATTCCACCCTGATCGGCCTGGAGCGTGGGTGCTGCCTGGTCAGGGCCTGTGGCTCACCTGCCCAGACATGGCCTATTGAAGATGGGAGGACTGCTGTACCCATGTACCAGCTGGGCCTGCCCGGCCTGCATGTGGGGACCCAGGGCAGTGCTCTCACCCTGCCCACCTTGTTGTCCTGTGCATCCCCCTCCCACCAGGCCAGGGACATCAGGGCAGGCCACTCACCTGGCTGGGAGCCACCTCGATAGGCTTCTTGTAGATGATCCAGGTGACTGTCTCGGCCAGCGGCGGGGTGGTGAGGGAGCCTGCATAGGTCCAGTAGTCCCGGCAGTCAGGCAGCAGACAGGAGGGGTCGAAGGGGCCCAGGGCCACCTGCGTGTCCTGAGATCAAGGACCACAGTGGTCAGCCTGGAACACGAGGGCCAGGAGAGCTGAGGCCCCAGATCCACATGGGAAAGGACAGATTCCAAGCCTCCCCTGTTACACTCTAAGCAGTGACATGGGCATGGTACCTGCCCATGCAGAGGAGTACTCCACCAGGCGCTTGATTTTCCTTTTAAAGCTACTTTTTTTGTATACTGTGGCTGTGGAAAATTTGCATTCTTTATTGTGGCAAGATATAATGTAAAACTGACCATCTTAGACACTTTCTTTTTGAGACAAGGTCTCACTATGTAGTGCAGGCTGGTCTTGAACTCGCTACATAGCCCAGGCTGCCCTCAAACTTACGGCAATCCTCCTGTCTCAGCCTCCCTAGTGCTGAGATCACAGGTGTGTACCACAGCTCTCAGCCGTTTGTAAGTGACATTAAGGACGGTTCTCTATTGTGCAGCTGTTCGCTCCCCTGAACTGTCACTGTGTCCCCATTAGACACTGGTTACCCCGCCCCATTCTCCTGAGTGCATTTGATGTCCCTGGCCCCTCACACAGGGGAGCCCTGGGCATCAGCTTTCTGTGTCTGGCTTATTTCTCTTAGCGCAACATCCTTGAGCTCCGTGGAACCTTGCACGGGAACAGGAGTCAGGACTTCCTGCCTCTTTGCGGCTGAGACCTCCCACCATGGAAACGGCCACTTTTCGGTGGCCTTCACCCGTCCACGGTGCCTGGGCCACGCTGTCTTCTGCAGCTGCTGAGAAGGGCACAAACACCCTGGGGACTGGCTCCCCACCAGGTGAGCGGCTGTCACAGGGCCGCTGGGTCCCATGGTGACTTCTCTGAACACACCCACGGAGCCACTGTGCCATCCCGCCCCGCTGCCCCCAACCATCCCGCTCTGCAGCTGATCCTCTCTCAGCAGCCGATGTGGGCACCACTGTTGAGCCCCACCTCCTGCTCCGGCTTCCTCCACGCCAGCATTCCTTGCCTGACCCTCCGCACCCAGGGCTGCTTTCTGGGCTTCTTCTGAGATGGCCCTGCCGGCCTGGCTGCTCGGGGCCTCTGTCCAGGTCCACACTGGCAGCCCTGCTGTGTATGGGAGGAGGACAGGGAGGGACTCGCCCCTCTGAGTGTGTGATCGATCACTCCTCATTCATTCATTTATGCATGTGTGCATTTATTCACAAGTGGGGCTGAGCCCCCCAGGAGCCTATCTCTGCTCCAGACTCGGGGGATGGAGACAAAGGGACAGAGCCACCTGCCCGTCCGCGGCGCCTGCAGGGTGAACACAGGGAACCTCTGCCGTTTGCATGGTGCACGTGAGGGTGATGGGAGGACACAGAGCCGGGGGCCAAGGGGTGAGAGGCGGCCCAGGCCCCCTGCAGCGATGTCGGGGAGAGGTGAGGAGCAGGTGGAGACAGTGGGGGAAGAGGCCTGAGGGACAGCTGAGAGGCAATGCAGTCGGGGCGGGCAATGGGGCAAGAACGAAGAGAGTGGCCAGGCAGGGTCCTGCAGAGCGGGGAACCCCTCTCACCCCAACAGGGGCCCCTGAAAAACCCACCTTGGCCAGGCAGGAGGCTGTCCTGGTTGCTACCTGGTCATTGCTCTGTTGACCGGGGGGACAGTGAAAGTATAGTCCTCGTGCAAGGGGAGTGGATCTGGGTGCTTGAGGGCTGCCTGGCAGCGGCCTCTACCCCGTGTACCTCAGATGCGGGCGCAGCAAAGCGAGGGACAGCTGGGCAGTGCCCCAGTGGAGGCCAGGTACCCCAGTGCTGCCTTGAGCCCCTCGGGGGAGGAGGGCCCAGCGAGCCTGGGCCAGGGCCTCCCTGCTGCCCTCCTCCTCCGTGCCACCCAGCCCCAACCCTGAGCCAACAGACTGCTCTAAGGCCAGGCACTGCCAGGTACCAGCTGTGCCCCGTTCTACCCTGGCCCTGCGCCTGGGTGTTGACTACAACACGCCACTTCCTGGGTGGAGAGACTGAGGCAATGGAGGTCCAGGCTCTACCCCTAAAGCACACGGGTCGGGACCGGGGGATTGGAGCTTTGAACCTGGGAGCCTGCAGGGCCCCAGTACTCCATGATGTGGCAGAAGCCCCCAGAAGTCCTGGGCTCCCGGGACTGGCCAGGAAGACCCCCAGGGCCTCCATTCCGCCGGAAGGAGGAAGGAGACATTTTACCTGGACATTGCTTGGCTGACAGGGGGGACAGTGGAGGCTGGCCTTGTAAAATCGCTTTCATCTCTGAAAGCCCTTTTATCTCCCTCTTCATGGTGGAGCCCAGAGATCAGCATCAGGGCCGGAACCAGACCCCACCGTGCTTCCGCCGCCGCCCGACACCCACCTGCACGTGCCCCACCTGGGCCAGGAAGCTGAGTTCTGCAGCCACCACACCTTGCAGCCCAGGCTTTCCTTTCCCAGCAAGCCGTGGGGACCCCCTGGGGCACAGCTCCCCTGGGGCACGGCTGGCGGGCAAACATCCCACGGCCAGTTTGTTCTGGCCGTGGACCAGCAAGGAAGAGGGCGAGATGCCGGGCAGTGCACGTGGCCTTGGGGTGTCCTGGGCAGGGAGCAGCAGGGTGGCCTGTCTCAGGCCCGGCCACGGAGCTCAGCATCAAGGGCCAGCTGTGCAGAGATCAAACAACCCGCGCATTGCGAGGAAGGGAGGCTGAACTCGGGCCATTGTCAGACAGGTGGGCGCCTCGGCCATCCCATCCGGGCACCACAGTGCCTCTTCCCCTGCAAACTCTTTTGTTTGGTCCTAAATAAATAAACTGCATTCTCTGGACTTCCCACTGCTCCCTCCCGTCCCTTCCCGGCTGGCCTTGGAGCCGCGGGCCGTCATCCTTGCTGACCTGCACGAGCCGCCGTGCTCCAGGTTACCCACACCGGCAGCCTCTCGGCCTTGCTGTCCCCATTGGGCAGGGCGGGCTTGGTGTGACTCCTTCCCCAAGCACACGCTGGGGGGTGAACTGGTCAACATTCATTCTTCCACCTTCACAGCTGAACTCCTAATTCACTTCAACCTCTTACCCAAACCACTACTCCCAGCTGCCATTGCCTGGGATGAGGCTAAAGACGTTTCTCCCAGTACTGGGGAACCAGAGCCTCTCCCTCGCTCCATCCCCAGCTCTTTTTATTATTTTTATTTTGAGACAGGCTCTTGCTAATTTACCAGGTGGCCCAGGTAGGGCTTGAACTTGCAATCCTCCTGCCTCAGCCTCCCAGAGTGCTGGTGAAGAGCAAATCTATTTAGAGGAAAGCATTCCAGGAACAGGAATCCTGTGGCAGGCAAATGTGCCCCCCACCAGCTGCCTGAACGGTTGCCTTTGGGGCCCTCCAGCGGAGCCCACACCTGCATCTTACTCAGGAGAAAGAAGGGCCTGGGGCAGGAGCAAGGCTGAACCAGGGACGTCCCAAGCCTGTGGAGACCCCGGGGAGCTAGGCCCTGGGGCCCCTTTTCAGACCTGGGCCACAGCCCCTGCAGGACTGCTTGCCACAATTTCTGTACCCCCGCCCCCCAGGAGGCAGCCAGTGGCTTCCTCCACATCTCACCTTGTGTTTTATCTGCGGCAAGACATCCACCAGCTGCTGCAGGGCCTGGTGCAGGGTGCCTGGCTGCGGCACAGACACAGGGCCATCAGCGTGGGGGTGGGGGCCGGCAGGGCTCCCGTGGACAGGCCATGTGCAAGGCTGATCTCCCGCCACATACGGTGCCCTACCCAAAGCCGTTACCTTCAGAAAGACGGCAGTTACAGCCAGGCCCTTCTCCCCCATGACCGCGTCCTGGTAACTTGGGTACCGCGTGGGATTCCAGTGAACTAAGTGCAGCTGAAACAGCAGAGCGAGAATTCAGCTGGGGCCCGATGCAGATGGAAATGGCCATCCCTCCGCTCCCTGTGGCTCTGTGTGTCGGGTACTGCCTAGCGGGTAGGAAGCCCAGCACTGCAGGCGCAGGTGGTGAGCGGAATGCTCCTGCAGGGAGAGAAAGGAGAGCACTGCTTTAACAGAGCAAAACGGAGCAGGAGCTGGGCATGGTGGCACACGCTCACAATCCCAGCACTCCCGCAGGAGGGTTACAAGTTTGAGGCCAGTTTGGGCAACTTAGGGTAAACCTATCTCAAAATAAATAAATAAAAAAGGGCTGGGGATGTAGCTCAGTGCAAAGGCCTCGAGTTCATCCCCAGTACTGGAAAAAGAAACAAAACAAAAACATAAGCAGATAGCTGGTGGCTCGCCCCTCTCCGTTACCCTGAGTGAGGATGGCCAGCGGAAACAGCCCAGAAGCGGGAGGCTTGGCAGGGTTAGCTCTGTCCAGACCTGGCATCTTTTCCTGAGTCTGGCGCCTGGCCTTGACTTCCTCCCTGGTCCTTGTTTTACCCATTTTCCCTAGGTAGGAAAGGGACCTGGAGCTGTGGGCTCCAGGCAGGCGACAGGGTTCGCATGGGGCGAGTGGAAGGGGCTGAGCCCCCTCGCTGGGTGACGCTCCGCGCTGTGTGATGGGGCGAGGCCACCTCCCACCTGCAGGTTCCCCGCCCCTGGGAAGGGAGCTGCGCTGGCACCCACAGCTTCCCTTGTCTGCTCGCTGGGGGGTGCGCTGTGGCAGCTGCTCGTCCAGTGTCCCCTGGGCGCCAGGGTCCTTGGCCACCTAGCAGTAACCACACGTCTATGGAGGACAGCACAGGGCCTGAGCAGCACCCCTCTCCTCTCTGGGGACGTGAGCGTCCCCACCCCAGCCCTGCACGTGTCCAGGGGAGGCTCTGGGGTCTTCCATGGGCTTAGGGTGGAGGCTCTCTGAGCCACGCATGACCAGCTCCGGGTCCCTGAAGCCTCTGCGCCAGCCCACGGGGCTCTCTTGGGGATCCTGAGTCTCTGTGCTCCGTGCAGCACCTCACACCCAGAACCCCCGCGTTCTTGCCGTGTACTGGGAGGCTGAGGTAGCAGAGTCAAGAGTTTGAGGCCAGCCTGGGCAACTTATAAGACACTACCTCAAAATAAAAATAAAAAGGTATTCAGGGTGGTATCACAGCCTGTGACCCCAGACTTGGGAGGCTGAGGCAGGAGGATTATGAACTCAAGGCTACCCTGGGCTGCAGAGCTAGAGCCTGCCTCAAAATAAATAAATGGATAAAACTGGAAGGGGCTGGAGCCACAATTCAGCAGCACACACGAGGCCTTGGTGTGATCTCCAGCCACACACACACACACACACACACACACACACACACAGAACCTCTTTACTGATGATTTTCAGATCCTGACCAAGGCCGTGGGGCTCTTGGCCCTGTTCTCAGGCCTCAGGATGCCCTGGCTCCTGCCTCCAATGCAAGCCGCGGCCCTCCTGCTGGAAGCCCGTTCCCTGCAGACGTGCGAGGGGCACTGGTCACCCCGGGAGCCGGGCACACCCACCACCGTGCAGACGTGGCCCACGCACCTCGGCGGCGAAGGCACGGCCGTCCACCGTGTGCTCCGAGCCCCGCCCATCCGCCGCTCCCCAGTGGAAGTGGAACTGCTTCAGCTGGTAGTGGTTCTCCAGGGGCCCCCCGCTGATTCCTGCAAACGCGAGCAAGACGTTAATCCTCCCACTGCGCCTGCACTTGTGTTCTGACTTCTGTCCCCAGGGACAGGCTTGTGTGTCCTGGTCACCCCTGTCCCCTGCACGCTTTCGCAGTGAAGGCACAAATGGGTACAGGTCCAACACTGCCTCTGGCCGCCTGCCCAGCCCTATTTCCGAGCCGCACCTGTCCTGTCAGACTTCCCAGAGCTTTCTTTAATTAAAACAAGGATGTCTGAGTTGAAAAAAAGCTTAAATCCTATCACCACACAGTTTAGTCCTCTGGGATACAACAAGGCTTTCAAATGAATGAGTTCAGAGCCAAGAACCAAGCCGTCCCTGTCCTGCTCTCCACAGCCCCTGCTCAGGGCAGGCCCACCGCTGGGCCAGGTCACTTACGGAGATGCCTTTCGAGTCTCCCCGAAACTGACACGGAGGTTGTCGCTCCCTCCTACCCGCAGGTTCAAGGTGGCTTTCCAGATGGGCCCGGTGCCCAGGTGGCCCCCGAAAGAGCTCAGTGAACTGGGCGCGTTCAGGTGCAGACACAAGTGTCAACCCCGTTGCGGGGAGCCTGGCTGTGCCATGAGTGTGGGGACGCATGCCGCAGGCGCGGGCCCACGGCCATGCAGCGCAGCCCAGCCTCACCCGAGCCATCGTGGCGGGCGCACTGGGCATTAACGGCACCTGCTGGGGGCCTGTTTGTCCCTGTACAAAGCCCCGTTGCAGGCGGCTGGGGAGAGAGTCTCAGTCTGCGTCAAGCTTTCAGCCGGTTTTACATCCTGTGACTGCACAAGGTGACGACCCGCCCCCTTTACGCCGCACACGTGCACCTGTCTGAATTTTAATATTCCTTCCCTGATGTAGTACACAAGGCCTCGGGAGATGCTGAAGTCTGATCGGCCAGCAGTCAGCTGTGCAGCGGGGTTGGAGGAGCCAGTCCAGGGCCGGGCAGTGACGCAGAGAGGGAGGCCCCTGGCATGGGCCGCAGGATGTGGTGTGATTTCCCGGGGCCACACATCCGAGAGGCAGCCTTTCCCTTGGAGGGATAAAGTGCAGTGGGCCCGGTGGCTTTGTGCTGTGGGGGTCGTGGCAGAGGTGCCCGCGATCCTGGAGGTGTGGCCATGGGGAAGGGGATTAGAACCTAGATCTGACACCAAAGCCCTGCCTGTCCTGCTCTGTCCTCCAGAGCATGAACCTGACCTAAGGAAACTGCAGGACCACAAGCCGAGGGCGTGGCTGTCTTGGTGCTGGCGTCGGCCTGCCACCCACCCCCCTGTGGCGTTGGCCGGTCCCACACCCACCACGGCACCAAAACGCCCCAACTGGCCACAGAGGGGAAGCTCAAAGGGGAAACTGCCTCTCAACCTCGGGACGTGTGTGTCCACAGCCTGGCACCCACAGTGACACCCCGGCAGGCCTCTGCCACCTGTTCTGAGTTTGGGAAAGGTCTGGGTACTGGGGGTGGGCGTGTCCCCAGACCACTGCCCACCAGCAGAGCTGCAGCCGGAGCAGCTGGGCCCAGAGCCCTGAGAGCAGTGGCCTCAGCTCCCTTGCAGGTGAAGCCCTGTGGGGGGTCCAGGACGACACCCAGGCCAGCCCAGGCAGATGGGGCTGTGGGCCGGCTCCACACTCCCGACACCAGGCTGCCCTGGAGCCCAGTCCACCTGCCCCGTTGGGCGCAGAGCACCTGAGTAAGAGGATGTGACCAGAGCGGTCCTTCCCATCTTGGGCACTGCCAGTAAGAAAAAGCAGTGTCTCGTCCTTCGCATGTGAGCACAGGAGTGGCCTGGGACAATGGCCACGCTGGGCTGCGGACCAAGAAGCTTTCGGAAAACCCAAAGGGCTGCAGTGATGTGGATGACTCAGGGGAGCCCCTGTTGCTCCCCTAGGAGGGTCAGTGAAAGGCAGGCCATGGCCACCTGGCTGGGCTTCAGTGGGCCCCAGTGGTGAAGTGGTGGACACTCCTAGCAATCCTTGGGTGCGATTCACAGGGCTGGGGGCCTCCTCTAACCCGTGTGGGACCCATCACAGCCCACACTTTCCCAGGATCTCCTGGGTCTGGACTTCTCCAGACCTCTCTGCCCGACTGGGGCCCAGGGCGGGGGTCCGGATCCCTTTGAAGATGAAACAAAGATTCTCACAACATTTCCTAAATTAGACCTCACAATGCAGCCGCTGGCAAAAGGCCACACGTTTATTTATTTAAGACTGGAAAGCTTGTTTGTGGTCCTTCAGCGGGGACCATGGTGTGCGGTCAGCAGGGATCTGACCTGGCACAGATGCCGTGTCCCTCCGCCACACTGTGTGACCTGCTCCAGGTGTCTCACCCCTGCCCGCCTCCGTTTTCCTCTGTAAAGTGGAATCCTAAAACCAGTTGTTCTAGTTTAAATCTAAAACGCCCCCAAATTTCCATGTGTGTGGAAGGTGAGTGGGCAGTGGGGCAGTGTGGTCATCAGTGGGTTGATCTGTGGATGCGTTTGTGGCTGATGTGGGGTCAGGAGGGTCCCTGGCTGGAGGTGGTCCTTGCAGTGTCACTTGGAAGGGTGCATTTTTGCCCTGCTCCTCCCTTGCTCTCTGCTTCTTGTCCACCACGACATGAGCACCCCTCCTCCACCAGGCCCCTTTAATACACCATTCCTGCCTTGGAGCCAGCTGGCCATGGCCTGAACCCCCTGACACCGTGAGTCATATCAACCTCTCCTTCACACTCTGGGTGCTGAGTATTTTTCCCAGTAACTAAGACCTCACTGGGTGGGATTGGTGTAAAGACTGTGTCAGTAATGAAGGGAGCACACCCTGCATGTAGGAAGCCCCAAGGAAAACAATAGCCATGGCAGCCGCATCCCTATCGGGTGAAGCAGCTGCCCAGAGCAACGACCTGGTGGACCAGGGTCTGGGGTCTGGGGCACTCACCTCCTACCCACTGCACATGTGGAGAACACAGCGCAAGTGTGACCAAGGGACAACAGCCTTTACCAAGTGCCTGCTGCAGGACACCGGGCTGTGTGCAGGAACTTCCTGTTCCCTGAGAGATGGGCTGTTCATGCTGTGGGGCAGTGCCAGGAGCCCAGCTCTGTGGTCTGGATGGAGACTCAGGCATGAGGTCAGCTGTCCTAGTCCACCGGCAGCGCTGGACCCTCAGCCCTCATAGCCAGGTTCAAGTCAAATGCTGCCACTTTTCTTCTGTAAACTCAGATAAAGTAATTTCTAATTGACTTTTCATACTAATAAGACAGTGTCAGGATAACCACCCTAATTGAAAAAGAGGCAAAGCTGAACCCCAAGAGGGAGGCCAGCAGCACACACCTGTGCTCCCAGCACGGGGAGGCTGAGGCAGGAGTGCCGTTCACAAGTTTGAGCCCAGCCTGGGCAGTTCAGCAACTTAGCAAGACCCCGTCTCAAAATATAGAAAAGCACCTAGATACAGGGAAGGGGGTGTCGGTCACTGTGAAGGGGCCGGGGTCAACCCTGAGTACTGAAGAAAGCAAAAGGGGCCTTGGGCGTGGCAGCCCAGCCCCCAAAGCTGGCCACAGCGGCCGCAGCCACCCGGACAGCAAAACCCAAACCTGGTGCTGAGGGATGGGCTGGCCCAGCCGGAGGGTGCAGACGTCTTCCAGCTCCACACAGCCGCTACTCGGCCCAGAGCAGGAGGGCAGCGCAGTCCAGGTGCAGACACCTCTGCCCGCTGCCGTCAGTCCCGGCTTCCCTGGCCTGCTGGACGGCAGCTGAGAGGGACCTGCGTGACTCTGGGCAAGGGGCGTCCCCTCCCCAGTGGCGTCAGCCCCTGCCCCCCCATGGCCTCCACCGGCCTCCAGGCCCTCCGGCTCCCTGTCCCTGCGTGGCGTCAGAAGACGGTGTCCTCACTCTTGTCCCCTCACCACTGAGTCAGGGACCCTCGTGGGGCAGAGGGGAGGAAGGGCCCCACCTGTGCAGCTCACCCGAGCCCGTGGCGGCCTCCTCGAACTCCACCTGGCAGAGGTAGCCAGTGTTCCGCGCGTGACGGCAGGACGCGGCGTCGTAGGAGACCCTGAGCGGCGGCAGCTCGGGGTCATAGACACTGTCCCGCCGCAGAATGTTGATGGGAGACTGCCGGGTGCCCCCGGGCACGGAGACCTGGCCTGTCCAGCGGGGGTGCCCTGGGGACAGAGAGGAGAGCCGACTGAGGAACTGGGTGCAGACACAGGGCACATGAGGTCCTGCAGATCCCAGCTCAGAGGAAATGGAGGCCTCCAGACCACCTGCTGCTAACTCCTGGGCATGTTTATAGACACTTTTGTGCGTGCCCCACTGTGGACCTTGTTTGTTTTTATTTTTTCAAACAGAATCTTACTATGTAGCCCAGGCTGGCCTTGAACTCACGGCAATCCTCCTGCCTCAGCCTCACAGAGACATGAACAGTCATGTACTATCCGTACAGACATGCAGCACCATGCCTAGCCTCCCCTCGGACCACTCTGAGACCTGGATTCTGAGGCCGCCTAGAGCTGGGACTGTGCCTGTCATGGTTTAGATCTCAAATATTCTCCAAATTCTCATGTATATGGACAGGGATTGGATCTGGGAGGCACTGCATGCAGCCGTGGGCTCATCAGGGATGAGTTTATAGCTGACCATGCTGTTGGTGGGGGGCCTGACGAGAGGTGGTCACTGGATGTGGCCTGGAAGGGTGTGGCTCCCTCCCCAGCTCCTCCCTTCCCTCTGCTTTCCCACCATCGTGATGTGAGCAGCATTGCTCTGCCAGGCCCCTCCACCAGGCTGCTCCTGCCTTGGAACTGGCTTACCATGGACGGAACCCACAGAACACACAAGCCAAGTCAACCTCCCTCCTTCACGCTGGGGGTGTCGGGTATTTTGTCCCAGCAACAGGAAACTGCTTACCATCTGGGCTGTGACAGTGGGAGCTTGACATCTACAGGGTCCTTGCCCGGAGTGAGGCCACAGGGGGCCTAACAGGGACTGGGGGCTTGGGTGGAGAAGGGTGGCTGGTGGGGACAGGGCGGCTGGGTCAGTAAGGCTCCCATCCTGCAGGAAGGGTCAAGAGCTCTTCTGGCCTCCTGGATTCCAGGGAGCAGCATGGATGCCTCCCCTGCTGCCTTCTGGGTTCACCCCAGTCCTAAGAGAGGGTGATTCTGGGAGTAAGACACAGGCCTCAAATATCTCAGAAAAGCTGGGCATAAGGCCCCACGCCTGTAATCCTAGCACTCAGGAGGCTGAGGCAGGAGGATCGTTGCTAGTTCAAGACCAGCCTAGGAGGATCGTTGCTAGTTCAAGACCAGCCAATTCATTCATTCACAAAGTGAGCTCAAGGCCAGCCTGAACTACACAGTGAGACCCCTATCTCAAAAAAGACAAAAAAAAAAAAACAAAACAAACAAAAAAAAACCTCAAAAAATTCAGAAAATGTGTGGGAGAACAAGAAGGCAGTGGTAACTGCATTCCCGGGTGTGCAGGTCCAGGTTGCTTTTGGGCAAATATCTTCATGTGTAACAGATGGGAATTTATGAATGGGGATCATGGTCTGCTATCATCTCTCGGCACAAGGCCATTCTCCTTTCATGTTGAGGGCGCGTTCTGCGATGTGAAAAGTCCCTCCCTCCATCCCTGTTTCCTTCCTTCCCTTCTTTCTCTTTCTTTCTTTTCTTCCTTCCTTTCTCTCTCTCTCTCTCTCTCTCTCTCTCTTTCTCCTTCACTCCCTCTCTTCCTTCCTCCCTCTCTCTCTTTCCTTCTCTCTCTTTCTTTCTTCCTCCTTCCCCCCTTCCTCCCTCTGTAGTGCCGGGGTGGGGTGGGACCCGGCCTGCTCCTCCCGCCCCGCAGTTCTTCCCACCAGGCCGCGTTGCCATTGCACCATGTAAACCACGTTCAGGAAGCAGTTCTTCAGCGACGTCTGGATTCATTCAACTTTGTGCAATTGCACACGGGGCTGTGAAGTTTCTGTCACAGCTCCGCACACGGGGCTGGACGACTTCCTTCTTACAAATGCCCAGCCGCGGGGCTGGGGATTTAGCTCAGCGGCAAAGCGCCTGCCTGGCAAGCGCAAGGTCATGAGTTCAATTCCTGGTACTGGAAGAAAAACGAAAAACAAACACACAAAAAAACAACAAGCAAATGCCCAGCTGCAGAAGAACCAGGTCAAAGTGTGTTCTCAAACTTCTAGGGAACGAGGAACCAACAATTTCCTCTGTGTCACCCTAACGGCCAGCATCACACTGTGTTCTTGTCTTTAACAAACGTGCTGCATTGCTTTTAGGAGATGTTATTTAAGCAAGCCAACAGCTCAGGAGAATGTGTAATTTTTTGTCTCCATGGCTTTGCCCAGCAAGCATAGCTGTTGGTTGGTGTTGTCTCTCTGGAGCAGAGCACAAGTGAGGGTTGTGCCCACTCCACATGCCCCGGATTCGACGGGAACAAACACACCAAGTGTGTGTTGGACGGATGATCCTTGGTGTATGCTAACCCCCGCTGCCCTCCACATGCAGGAGGACACCGTGGGCCAAGAGATGGGGTCACTGTTCAGGGCCTCCTGTGGGGCCAGCACCCAGCACCCAGCATCCTGGGTGACAGTCACTGCTCTCACATCACCCAGGCATCCAGCTTTTCTCTTCTTTGCAGATGGTGAGCATCACCCTGAGCCTTCTCCCTGGTCTGTCTGAGACCCAAGCTCCACCATTGGAATCGTGTGTCTGGTTTCCCTTGTGAGGCAGACGTGTCACCAGGCTGTAGATGAGCGAAGCTGCGGCGGGTGCATGGTGTCCGGAGGGATAGAAAGGGGGTGGTGGTGGCCGGAGGCTGTGTGCTGCCCCTTTAGCTCTCTCAGGTGACAGATGCAGATGTGCATCAGCTCCTGCTCCAGCCTCAGTTCCAGTAAGGACGCCGGGGGCACATACAGGGCAGGGCCACGTCCACTCAGGGCAGCAGCCCCGCTGTATCCACGAGGCAGTCTCCTTCCCAGGACAGGTGATTAAGACTCAAGAGCCACCACCAGGTGTGGCGGCGCATGCCTGGGATCCCAGAACTTAGGCTGAGGCAGGAGGATCACTGCGTGTTTGAGGCCAGCCTGGGCTACACAGCCAGACCCTGTCTCAAAGAATAAAACAAAACAAAGAATACTTGGGAGCCAGCCAGGTGTGGTAATCTTGTAATCCAGGGCTCTGGGAGGCTGGAGAATTGCAAGTTCCAGCCCAGGCTGGGAGAACTTTTAAAAGCAATGTGGAAATACAGCTCAGCGGAAGGCCTTGGGGTCAATCCCCAGGCCCGCCCAGTGAGGAGCCGTGCAGGCCCTGTTTCCTGGGTACCCTGGTCTCCCCTGGCTCCCACTCCCAGAGCCCCACGGAGCTGGCACAAACCCACACGTGCCGCTGGGGTGAGACCGAGCACAGTCTGCGTCCCTGAACCATGCTCCTGCAGCAGGCTGAGTGTGTCACAGGCACCCAAGTTAGACCCAACCGGGGAGCTGGGAAATGAGCCAGGGGGGCCCATCCGGCCGGTCTCCGAGACTCAGTAATGCCGGTGTGGAAGGGTGGACATTTCTAGATCCCTTTCGCTGTGTGCAAGAGGCCACCAACGGCAAAACATCTGTGCTGGCCACTGTCTGCCCCAGAGGGAGGGACGGTGCTCAGGGCTGCGTGCAGGGAGCCACGGACGCTGAGATATGGAGCAGGCTTCCCACAGGTTCCGGAGGCGTCTCCACCAGCACCGCCACTAAGTCCCGAGACAACCGAGGTCGGCCTGGGCAGGGTGCGGCCAGGGTGAGGAGCACCCTCCTTCCCCATCCTGCGTCCTGCGGGGCACTCTCGTGGAGGCCCAGCCTCGGGGACAGAGCTGATAACAGCCCAGGTCCCTGCCCCGTTCACATAGGCAGGTGTAGACAGGTCTCCTCGAGGTCCTCCTCTCGGCTGCAAACCTCCCTCCCTGCCCCGAGCCGGGGAGCCCTGCCCACCCCATCTCCCGCTTGTGCTGAGGTGACTCCAGCGGGGCCGCCCGCTCGCCCGTGCAGCGGACTCACCCTCCAGACGCTGCCCCTCGCGGAGAGACGACCCCACCTTCCTGGATGCTGCTGGACAGAGCTGCACCCATCCCGCCCCACTCCAGGGTGGCCAAACGCGAGGTCACCGGCAGACACGAGCAGGCAGCGCCCCCTGCGGGCTGGGAGCTGCAGAGCGGGTGAACGCGCACAACACGGCCCTGGCGCGGGGAATCTTGCGGTGCGGCTGCGGGTCCCTGCGGGGTTTTAGGGGCAGCCCGGCCGATGTGCAGTCCCCCAGGATGGAAGTGAGCGGCTCCCGCACACGCACGGGTGGGAAGGTGGACCCTGAGTCACGCTGGCCCTGAAAGTGATTCTCAGCAGGTTGGCTTCTCTCTCCAGGCCGAAGCTCCCGCAGTTTCCCATCAGTTTTAGCTTCCCGCTGGTTTGCCCCTCAAATGAACTGTATGCCGCACGCACCAACAACAAAGCCGGGGCGTGGAGGGTGCCTCCCTCGGGGCGTGCATGCCCCACGCGGGGTGCAGTATGAGGTCCTCGGCCGGAGCAGGTTCTGGGCCACCTGGCCGGGCGTCCCTGTCCCTGTCCCAGCCGCAGCATGCAGAGCAGCGTTCCCAGAGCAGCGCTGTCTGCAGAGCCACCGATTGATGCCAGGACCATGTGAGCCAGGAGCTCCCGGCCCTGGGCAGGGGCAGTGCCCACGGCCGCGGGCTGGACGGTGTCCCCAGGGCCAGGTGCCGTCCTCAGCCTTTCCAGTCGCCAGCTGGTTTCCGGCCCCTGGCGGTGCTGTGCCCCCTTCACAGAGGACAAGGCTGAGCACAACATGGTTGGGACCCTTGCTGAAGGGCACGCAGCCACATGGGGATGGCGCCAGGGCGCCAGCCAGGTGTCCTCAAGTTCCCAGAGGTTCTGGGCATGAAAGAGGGCTGGCATGAAGATGTATTCGTGCCAGTCAGTGGGCATGAGACAGACAGGGCTCTCCGCATAGGCAGAAGCACGTCTCTGTGCTCATGGAGGCCCACAGCCAAGCTGTCGCAGCACAGCCTCCGGGCATGGGGAGGGGACTGGACACTGGTGAGTCCCTTCTGTACGGTCTGGGCCTAGGGCAGGTCCTGGGGCAGGGCCCAGGATGGGGCTGCTGCCCGGGGCCCCGCAGGAGTGCCCTTGTCCCTGGAGGACGGCGCTAGGAAGGGGGCAGTGGACAAGGGAGGAAGCTTCCACCCCAGGTGCTAAAATATGGGCCTGGGCCTTTTGCTTCCCGCTCTGTGAGAATCCCTGGAGGACCCTCTGGCTCCCCCGTCTGCACCTCCAGCTCCCCGTGGTCAGAGCAGGGCCTCCCTACAGCGCCTCTTACAGCCAGGCTGCACCACCGGTTGGGGACAGTGTCCTTGAGCCCCAGGCCATCTGCTGGCCCCTCACGGGCCTGAGTTCCTGCACTACAGCAGCAGCCCAGAGCCCAGGGTTTTCACCCCGTCGGGCATTGTGCCTGGTGTGGCCTGGGAGGACCCATTATGTCCAGGCTCTCTGTGCCTGTCTGGTACGCATGCCTGTGTGCCTGGGAGACAGGGTCCAGTCACGCCTGACTGCGATGAGGAAACTGAGGCTGGGCAGGTGGGTGAGGGGCCAAGTGCTCCCCTCTCTTGGGTGGGGTCACCAGTACCACACCTGGTGGGTCTCCTCCGGGCCTGCAAGCTCGGAAGTGGGGGTGCCAAGCCAGGACAGAGCCCAGGGGCCATGGACACGGTGACTGCTCAACCGGCCCTGAGACCCAGGAAACTGAGGGTGAAGGACTCCTCCAGGCACACGCACAAGACAGCGGAGTGCAGCCCTGGACCCACACCGCTGCATCTCTGCTCCTGAGGTCGAGCTAGAAGCCGCACAACCTCAAACCGCACCGGGGAGGGACTCTACTCACAAGCGTCGCCCCTGGGGCTTTGCGCGCAGGCCCGCCAGGAACACCGCCGCTCCGGCCCCAGTGCAGGACCCGGGGGAGCCCCCCATGTCCACGTGAGCAGGAAGGGGGTGCCAGAGGGCTTGCAGGGGGCCTTCCCCAGCCTCACGGCCCTTAGCATCTGGGCCAGCTCCCCGTCTAAGAGGGAGACGCTTTCCTCTGTCTGACGGCACCTGGTCAGCAGAGCCTTGAGGTGCAGTGTACCCTGCTTTGGAGAAACTCACCTGAACCCCTGGGCCCCATGGTTAAATTTCAACCCAGGCCCATCTCAGTCTGTGCGAGGGCTTTGGCTTGGCATGGGGGGTGGGTGCCTGGGGACAGTGGCCTTTGCTGGGGACTGGCCACCCGGGTCACAGTGCTTCGATCTGGTAAACATCCGGGAGCTGCCCTGAGCCCAGGGGAGGATGCAGGTAGCAGACAGGCAAAGTCCCTGTCCCACGCACTGTTGGCCCTGTGGTTTGGGGCATGGTCACCTGAGGGCAGGTCGGGACTGGCGGAGTGCCCTGGGAGCACAGCGTGGGTGGCTGCATGGCTCATGGTGTGAGGGCCTCACATGATCCCCTGGAGGCCTGGACAGAGCGGACTGACCTCCCAAGTGCCAGCCACAGCCAGCCCACGGGCGTGAGCTCGCCAGCCCACAGCTGTGACCTGCTGAGCCTCCCTACCATGTCAGACGCCCCCGGCTCCCCACTTTGCACACACGCCGCTCCGACACCCTGCAGCCCCCGCCCCGCGGGAGGATGGCATCTGTGACTGGGGGTGCAGTCCCACTTCCGAATGAGAAGGCCGGAGGTCACAGCACTGGCCCCCTGCCCACTTAACAGTCTCCATAATTTTTGTCTTTTTTTTTTTTTTTTTTT